CCATAGACAAAGAAAGAACACACTTTCGCTGCTCTTGTCGAAAGTGTAAAGTGACTATAATAAAAAACACAGATGGATGTTATCATTATGGCAAAACAACAACTCACATTCACGAAAAACAAGATTTACGCAGAAAAAATCATTTAAATTTTATCAAAAATGACTTACAAACTTCACCAACAAAAAAATTAACAATGAAATCATTTATAACAAAATACAAAAGAGGTTCTATAGGAATAACACAATCGACATTAGAACGTTTTGTTCAAAGAAACAAAGTTCACAAAATTGAACCAAATTCATATGATGATATTATAATATGTGTTGGCCACTTCAATTTATTATTCAAAGATGAGCAACTTGGAATACTTATATTTGGAAATAGCGAACAATTGACAATGTTAGCAAGATGCAAAGAAGTGTTTATGGATGGGACTTTCCGGAGTTGCCCCAAACAATTTTATCAGCTATATACACTGCATTGTCAATTACAAAACAACCAAACATTTCCAGCAATTCACTATTTGTTGAAAAACAAAACTTCAAATACATATGAAACACTTTTTAATGCCATTGAATGCTTGCTAAAAGAAATCAACGAAAATTATACTTGTTTTGGAAGAAACGTTGTTGTTGTGACTGACTTCGAAAATTCGCTTATCGCTGTTTTAAGAAAATACAAAACATTTGGTCTAGAGCACAAAGGATGCCTTTTTCATCAACGTCAAGCCATACGAAAGTTTATCAATAATGCTGGTCTTAAATGTGAGTATTCTTTAAATACGGAATTCAAAGCTGCAGTGAAAATATTAGAGTCCGTGTGCTTTTTGAAAGAAGAAGATATTATTCAAACAGTTGGTATTTTAACGGCGTGGTATTCTCATGTACCTTCATTTGGGATAGTTGTGGAATACTTCAATAAAGTGTGGATAAATGGCGCGTTTCCCATTTCATTGTGGTGTCAATTTATGAGAAAAAAAGAGGACTAATAATGATTGTGAGTCTTACCACGCCGCGCTCACCAGGAGGCTTGAGTTCGTGAAACCTGGTTTCTGGAAGTTCGTTGAAAAAATCGGAGAAGTGATAGAAGATGTTAATAAAGATCTAAAAACATGAAAAACGGATTTATAAAAAATCAAACAGTAAAGTTGAAATAATATATAATACACTTAAAAATTTAACAACAAATTATTTCTGTGGTGAAATCAATTTAAATTGTTTTCTCGAAAAGGTAAGTGTGTTATTTGATGGTTTAAATCATGAAGTTTACTTCGAAGTCGAAAATTGTGAACAAAACGAGACGGAAAATGTTACAAAAGAAAATTGTGTAGATTGTATCAATGAAAATGTTGTTGGTATAAACACTTCAACAAATGGTGATATGTTTGAACGTGAAGACTTTATCCAACAAACAAGACTTGAAAATAAAAATCCAACTAAAATTGTTGATATTCAAAATACAAAGAAAAAAATTATACGTGAAAAAAAGCCAAGAAAAAAAAGAAGATCTGTAATCCAAGAAATCAAAAAAGAGTGTAGAAAAAACAAAAACAAAAAATAATTAAGTAATTTATTTTTTTAATATTTTAATGAAATAAAGTTAATAAAAGTTAATAAAATGATAATTCAATTTTAATAATTCGGGTTGTAGTGATTATAATAGAGCCGAAGTAATTCAAATGACATCATATAAACACAATAAAGAACTTTAAAATTGGTATGTTTTTACATAAAACATGTTAAAAATAAATTTTTGAATACAAATGGTTATTTAAACAAATTGCATTTCAAATTCACTTTTGAAAAATACATCATTAAATTATATACTAATTAATTAAATATTATTTTATTTATAAATTTGATAACAATTGTTTATAAATTGTTTGGTTAATTGAATCAAGTATTTTTGATTAACACTTAAATGGCTTAAAGAAATTTTTTTGAAGGCAAGGAAAAAAAGACATAGACGCCAATTTAAAAAAAGTACTTAAAACAACCCATGTCCCTTTTGGGACATAATCTTACTCAAAAAAAAGTATAAATGTTAACTCGATTATATAAGATTTTGCATTATTTTTTCAAAAAATACACTTTTCTTTCAAATTCTTTGATAACGATTATACTATACTCATTTCTATTATTTATTACTATGTATCACTTGTGTCGGTTTTCATTCAAACCAACGTGTATACATAGTGACATTATCATACTCAAACATACTTATTTGATTCTCAAGTTAATTAATGTTCTAACTTTATTTTTTCAGTTGCCAAATGAAAATCATTTAAAAAAAATTCAGAATAAAAATATATTTTTAAAAGTCACTTATTTTAGAAACTATTATTTTTTCTTGGGGTTTTTGCATTTTGGGCACAAGAAAAGTGAGTGTTTAGTGCACACTGGAAGACCACAAGATTCACATATTCTTTTTGTTCGAGCCTTTTCAACTTTCTTGCAAAAAGCACAAAATCTCTTTTTGGCAACTGTTAGTGATTTTTTTCTTTGGAATTTGTTATTTTTTTGTTTTTCCCAACAACGTCTTCCCACCATTTTTGAAGTCCACACTCAACAAACAGCTGTCTTTTTTCTTCTCCTTTTTTCATCCCTCGATCAAGCCTTCTTTTAACGTAATTCTCACACATTTGTTCGACAATTTAATTAAAAAATCAAAATGAGACGTTTTTGTTTTTTCAAACATGGCATAGGCATTAGTGCAGCAACAATCCAGGATATTTTGAACAATTGCCAAATTGTATCTTCTCGTTTTCATTTTGCACGAATACTCTTGGCAAAGTTGATCAAAAGTATCAACTGGAGTTTTTGTATAATTGTAAGCCACATTTATTGAAGATTTTCCACTTCGAATGTCAATCAATGGAATTTGAATTTTATTGGTAACAATAATGACAGTTTTGCTTTTGTTTGGGTTAAAAGCAGTCAAAAGAATGTTCCCTTTTGTATAAAAGCGTGTATTTTTGGGATTTTTTTCTTTTTCTTCTTCTAATTTCATTTTTTCTTCTTTAATTTCAATCTTTTCTAAATTTAAGAATTTTTGGGAAGATAGAATTTTTTCAGCTTTTTCTTTGTATTTTTCCCTTTTTGTTCGGTTTTTTGGCTCAGCTGGACCAATTTCCCCAAGTTTAAAAAAAAATTTGTCCCATTCCTCCTCAATTTTCGCAATCGATTTTTTGTTTTTCTTTTCCATTTTTTGTACTTTCCTTTCTTTTTCTAAATATGTGTTTTTTTTCGCTTCAGAAGGAATATTTTTGCTTCTTTGGTTCATGGTACCTATGTACCCGATTTTTCGGACTTCCAACTCCTGCATTACCGTGACACTTGTAAAATAATTGTCACTCTGAAGTAAAAATTCTTTTTTGGGAGGTTTTGTACTAATTTTAGAACAATTGATTCTCCATGACTCAACCCGTTTTTTCCTCGAGTTTTCCCTCATATAATGTCATTCCGATGCACATTTTTTTGTCATAAAGACACAAACAGTAAAATTTTAAGCCGTGTTTTGTGGGTTTGGCTGGGCAGTACTGAATACCATGACAACGGCCTTTAAAACCAAACATTCGCTCATCTATACATATCAGGGAACCGGGGTCGCATATTGCCGTGATATTTCGGGAAAAAATATCAAAAATTTCTTTTGCTGCTGAAAAATTGGTTTTTCCCTTTTTTGATCTCTTTCATTTTTTTGTCGCACCGGAAACATCGAAACAATTCTTTGAATCTATCTCGCTTCATGCCTATTCTTAAAAATATAATCCCGAATTTGTGGCTCCAAAGGCGATCAACGTTTCCCCTTCTTTGGTTTGCCCCAATATAAATCAAAATGCCAAGAAAACATTCAATTTCTTCGAAATCAGTTGGGATCCATTTCCCGTTAATTAGTTCTTCTGCCTTTTCATTTGTACCTTCAACAATTAATTCAATCATTTCATTTGAAAACATTTTTCTAAAACATTCCAAAGGAGATTTGAAATCTTCAGAAAAAACAGTTTTCGAAAAATTTTCTTTTTCACAAAACTTTTGAAAATCAAAAATCCCAAGTTTTGGTTCGATTTTTGGCCATCCATCCAAATAATCATCTTTTTCTTCAAAAAAATATTCTTCTTCTTCATTTTCTATTTTTTGATCATATTCTTCAACATGATTTTCACAAAAAAATGGATCATTACTTTCGTCATCACTTGATATTAAACAATCATCTTGTTGGTATTCACACTCCATGAATTGAAAAAAAAGAACAAAAAGGCAAAAAATAATAATGGTAAATTTTTGTTTATGTATGTCTATTAAGGAAAGGTTCAGCCAATTAAGTGTTAAACAAAAATAATACTTATGAGACTTTTCCAATAATACAATGTGTGAATTTACACGAACATTAAGTTGTGTATTTTTATTTGTTGCTTTAAAATAACACTCAAAATATTGTATGTATAACCAAAGTTACTGGTTCAAGTAATATTTCTATTTAATAAGATTTAATAGCGTAAAATAAAAACAAAATACGCAGAGTTGTAATAATATATAAATATATTTATTCATACAATTTACAATTTATTTATTGTCGACAAAAATATATTTTTATAAAAGCTTGACAAAAATACAACAATGAATTATTTTTAAAATTTTCTTTGTTAAAGAATAATTAAGAAAGTTCTTAATAATTTTTGGTAAAATGTCGTTTGGCAAAATGTCACCCTCTCGTTTAAACAACTTTTCTTAATTAATAATAATATTATTATTTACTAAATAATTGTGTTACAATTTATTGTTTAACTAGAATTGCACCAATGAATTGATATAATAAATTTCGTCATTTTATAAAATGATAATAAATAACTCAAAGATAACTTTTTCATTGTGTTTTGTCAAAATCCTTCAAAAACATTTTAATACCCTTTTTCATAAAGATACCATAAGTATAGTATTTTAATAATATATTTTACTATCAATTTTTTATAAAAAGAAACTATTATCTACTAGAATCAATGGGTTTGATTGATGGGTATCATATGATGGTTATATCGCAATACTTTTCTTCATTCGATGACTTCATTAGTTTGGAATTTGTCTGCAAGAAGTTTAATACCAATATGTTAAAATTTCACAACAACCCAATTCCGTTAACAACAAAGACAATAAAATTCTTTTCGAAAATAGAAACACTCAACATTTGGTCCAAAGACGACGAAACTTTTGGTAATATGAATTTTGGTGTAATTCCAATCAATCAACAAGATAAAATCGACTTCTTTCGCGTTAAGATATGGTGTCCGATTAATTACGACTTGTTTCAAACTTTAAAGAAGCCAAATATCGTTTTTAAAGACTTGATTTACACAAAGAAAGATAGAATAAAATATGGCAACACAATCCCAAAGATTATTACTAAATTGGGCAGAGAGTGCTTCTGTGACTCAGAAATGACTTCAATTGACTTACCAAATTCACTCACATTAGTGGGCGAAAGGTGTTTTACCAATTGTCTATTAAAGGCGTTGATGTTCACTGACAACATCAGCAGACTTGGATCGTACTGTTTTATGAACTGTGGTCTTCTCTCTTCGATTCATCTTCCAGACAGACTTGCTGTATTACCAAAATCGTGTTTTGAAGGGTGTTACAGTCTCCAAAGTGTTACATTTCCGTCACATATCACAACAATAGAATCTGCATGTTTTTCACAGTGTTCCTCTTTGAGAACAGTTGATATCCCAAACAGTGAAAGTCTCATTTTGAATTGTGCGTTCCTCAGTTGCTCACATTTGACTTCAGTTTCTATAAAAGGAAATGTTCGTGCTTTTGGAAATTCGTGTTTTTGTTTTTGTGAATCCCTTGTCTCTATCGACATCCCAAGTTGTGTGTCGAGATTTGATAATGATTGTTTTCGATGTTGTAAATCGTTAAAAAGAATTGTTTTACCACTAAACTTGAGAGAAATCCCATATTGTTGTTTCGCCGGTTGTCTCAATTTAACTGGCGTTGCAATGCCTGAAAATCTGAGTGCAATTGGAGAAGCCGCGTTTCACAACTGCAAAAGTCTTGAAACACTTGCTATACCAAACGAAGTCAAAGTGTTTAAAAATCAGTGTTTTCGTGGATGTGTATTACTCGAATTGACAGTACCGAAAACGGTTAAACATATTGGAGACGGGTGTTTTGTGGAATGTAAAAACATCATGTTTCAAGTCTAAATTCCATGCTTCATTATAAACCGTCATTTGGTATTGTGTAACCAAAATTTAGTCGTTTTATGTTTGATGTTATTAAATAGAATAATTTGATTTATCAACAAGTTACTATTCAATGTTTACTTGTTAGAACTTTTTTCATGGATATGTTATTTTGTCTTAATTTGTCTTTGAAAGTGTCGAAATAAACAATAAAAAATTGGAGACTAAATTTTATAAAATGTTATTATGTTATTCAATAATAACTAAAGTTAATATTTTGTTATCAATAACAATGTTTCTGATATTAAATAAATAATATCGCTTTTAATAAATAATTACCATATAATTTCAATAAAACCAACAAAGAAAAACAATAATAATTCCAACAGTGATGTTTATTTAAAAACAACATACTATTTAAGTCATTGTTGTTTTTATTTCAATATTTAATAATATTTATAATACACAAAAAATAAAATCAAATAAAACAAAAAGGTACTTCATTCTCAATTTAAAACAAAGCAAACAACAGAACAACCATTAACATGGCAAAAACGTTTATCGAAGAGTCTGGAGTAACCGGAGTATCTGGAGTAACAGACGAGGGGTGTGCTATATATCCAAACTGTGAAGTACTTGTGCATTTATCGAACATATAATCAGTTTCTGTTTTGCTTCCAGAACAATCTTTTGATGTTGTATATGTTTGGAAACTGAATTTGTCTTTTCCTTGAACAGCTTTATAAGAGAGAGCTATATTATTGACACTTGCATCTATACATCCATCAACTATGATGGAAGTCAGTGGTTGTTCATTTGCAGTGCAAATCTTATCATAATAATGTTTCAACGTCCCCAAATTTGCAGGAATTGTATCGACTATTTCATATCCCTGTGTCTGCAATTGCGTTTTATCCAATTTTGTTGATACCAAAGAAGAACATGAAGTACCTGACCAATAATTGACTCCATCGGCTAATATTTCATATTTTACACTCAGAGGACCATTGATATAACACACGTTGTTTTCAAATAAGTTTTTCACTGGTAGATTTGCAAAGTTTTTAATGTTAATAACATACGATGATAGAGCATTTAACACAAAGATAAAGCATATCAAGAACATCAAATTATGAAAGACGAGATTTAAACCGTGTTTATATATCGTTTTTAATAAAAACACAAAAACAAGAATTAATAGAAAGAAAGTTCGATTTGATACTTAACATTATTAATCCCTCTTTTGAACGATAATAATATATTTGTGGTTAGTTATCATAAGTACTATAATAAATAATTAATTTTGATAAAATAAATACATATAACGAACAAATTTGAATTTGTTTAAATAAAATTAAATTCGGTTTGAATGGAAAAACTTCTAAACTAATATAAATTAACTATATGTTTAATAATAACAATTCTTGTTATGAAAACTTGTTAAATGTTGTTCTCATATTATATTTAATAAATAAATTTTGAATTTCGCTCAAAAACAATACTTCTTATTCTAGCTTTTGAATTTTGTTAGTTTTAAAAAATATTATATTTATTTTTGTGTAAAACACTGATAAAACAAATGTTATTATTTTAAAAATGTCTAATTGTTTGGAATAAGAACAATGTATTGTGTTTTTGAAAAAACATGTAGACTTTTGGTGCAAATAAGTTCTTATCAACCTACAACTAAAGTGCGTATTTGGCAGCCTCGATTGCTGCCTTGTTTTATGGTGAGAGCTTTGCTGCAATTAACTCGTTGAGTGTGTTTTACATCGACTAGCAGAAATTCTAAAGCCCATCTAAGCTTCGAAAAGTATCATCTTGTTGTCCTCCGAATTGAACTATTTTGCGTCTGCAACTATTTTGTATATTTGTTTATTTAAGGGTCTTACTTTCAGCCGAGACATTCAAAATTCCATTTGCATCAATGTCAAATGGGACTTCAACTTGTAAGAACTTCACTTGGTGTGGGTGGGATGCCACTCAACTCAAACTTGCCAAGCAGGTTGCAGTGAGATGTCATATATACCTCTCTCAAAGACTTCTATTAGTACGCCTAACTGGTTGTCTGCATTGGTCGAAAATATTTGTGACTTCTTTGCTGGAATTGTTGTGTTTTGTGGTATTAGTACAGTCATCACACAAAGAGCTGTCTTAATGCCAAGTGTCAGTTTCCACATCAAGAAACAACACATCTTCTGTCGTTTCCCGCCGTTTCTGTCATAATAGCTAATTTTACAGCATCACCATAAGCAACCGCATCATGTGGGTTCATCCTCTTGTTGATCTTTTTCCTATTGAAGTAGTCTTGTAGTATCTGGACTGCATTTCGAATACGAGTTAACTTATCAATCAACACAACGTCGTCAATGCTTCCTTGTCCAGTTTAACTTCTTCAAGCACCTTCTCGACTGACTGTTATCGACTGGTAAAGGTTGATGTTCATCTCTTCAAAGCGTGTTCTCGTGATTAATGTGTGGAAGTCGGTGCGTTTTTTATTATCATTAAAAGTTTAATATTTTGAAAGGAGCATTTTCTGCTTTTCTTTTGTTTTTTTTGAATTTATTTTTGTTTGATAATTTTTCTCTTTTAAGTTTTTATTACCAAGTCTTTACTCTTTTAAAATAAAAACAAAATTGTAATTGAAATTATTATTGCGGGTTTCAGTGCCAAATATGAGGGAAATCATTATATTTTATCGTTGTGTAAGCCACTTTTGATTGGTCAAAACCACACACTGATATAATTATTACTGAACATGCTCGTGAGTTTTTAAAGTAATTTCAAAGACACGTACACTTTTTAATTTAAGTTGTTTATGTTTAATGAATTTTAAAAATATAAAATCAGTCTTAAAATTCCATTTTGAAAGTTGTGTGTTATTTTTTATTACAAATAAATGATATGTTTCATTAAATTATCAAAAAAATATTCCTTTTGGTTTAGTTTTTTCATATTATACCCTATACCTATTGTTAACATAAGATTAATGTTTTTTTGTCAATCAAAAAACATCAAAAGACAAACTCTATTAAGTAAATTGCAAAACGTTATTCCAGCACCCGAAGTAGTTTTGATCAATAAAACTAATAAATTTAAAATAATTATTCAATAATTAATAACAAAGAAAAAAAATTAACCAATTTTTACAATATTGATTTACATTCGTAATTAATCATAATACTAAATACAGCAGTGATAGACTTACATTACATTTTGTGTGTTTTTAAATAAACTAAATATTATGGTAATTTTTATTATACTTAATGAAATAAATTAAATATTATTATTGATTTTATAATTTGAAAACAAATAAAGTCAGTCTGGAAACTTTGTTTATTTATTTTTTTTAAAGATAATATAATAATATCCAATAATAATTACTATTGTTTAAACTATTATTTATAAAACAACAAAAAAAAATAAATTGTATTAACATCAATTTATTTTTTTTGTTTGTTAATAAATGGTTATATTAACGTTGTTATATCCCAAAAATAACGGGAAATACTGTAAAACAAACTGAGTTTTTTATTTACTTATGAAATTTTGTTTTTAGTCGCGAGTACTTTTTTTAACTTTTTTAAAATGTACTCTTTCAGAAAGAAAACCGACACCCACACAATAACGAAAAACTCTTACTCGAATGCTAAACTGCAATTTTATGTTCGAGATTGCCAAGTGTGGTGTTTTTTGTTATAATGTCTCATAATTTTAATTTTTATTTGGTGAAATCCAAGTTGTTTGTTGTCGAATTCTCGTGTTGTATCTATCACCAAATAATAAAATGCGCATAACTACTGTTTACAATGGTGGAATTATTCTCTGTTGTTATACACAGTGTTTGAGTGTTAAAAAACAAATTTGTCAATTTGTCTAAGTTCGTTTGCATCGAAAAAACATTGATTACAAGTGAAAAAATAAATTTAAAAAACAAAACCAAATAACAAAAATATTCTATTTTTAGAAATAAATAAAATTTTCAGACTGACTTTATATTCAATTTAATATCAAAGACGTTTATTTCATTACGTTGATTATAATTATTATTGGTTTGTTTA